ACCACAACCTAGTGCTCATAACCAACACTCAGCATCACAACCTAGTGCTCACAACCATCACTCAGCACCGCAACCTAGTGCTCACAACCAACACTCAGCATCACAACCTAGTGCTCACAACCAACACTCAGCATCACAACCTAGTGCTCAACAACCAGCATCACACTAGTGCTCACAAGCATCATCAGCACCAACCTAGTGCTCACAACATTCAGCATCACAACCTAGTGCTCACAACCAACACTCAGCATCACAACCTAGTGCTCACAACCATCATCGCACCACAACCTAGTGCTCATCAACTCAGCATCACAACCTAGTGCTCACAACCATCACTCAGCACCACAACCTAGTGCTCACAACCATCATTCAGCATCACAACCTAGTGCTCACAACCAACACTCAGCATCACAACCTAGTGCTCACAACCATCACTCAGCACCACAACCTAGTGCTCACAACATTCAGCATCACAACCTAGTGCTCACAACCAACACTCAGCATCACAACCTAGTGCTCACAACCATCACTCAGCACCACAACCTAGTGCTCACAACCAACACTCAGCATCACAACCTAGTGCTCACAACCATCACTCAGCACCACAACCTAGTGCTCACAACATTCATCATCACAACCTAGTGCTCACAACCAACACTCAGCATCACAACCTAGTGCTCACAACCATCACTCAGCACCACACCTAGTGCTCACAACACCATCACATCCAACCTAGGTCACAACCTCACTCAGCACACAACTGTGCACAACATTCAGCATCACAAACCTAGTGCTCACAACCAATCACTCAGCATCACAACCTAGTGCTCACAACATCATCAGCCATCAGCAGTGCACAACCATCATCACACAACCTAGTGCTCACAACATCAGCACACAACCTAGTGCTCACAACCAACACTCAGCATCACAACCTAGTGCTCACAACCATCACTCAGCACCACAGCCTAGTGCTCACAACATTCAGCATCACAACCTAGTGCTCACAACCATCACTCAGCACCACAACCTAGTGCTCACAACCATCATCCAGCACCACAACCTAGTGCTCACAACCATCACTCAGCACCACAACCTAGTGCTCACAACATTCAGCATCACAACCTAGTGCTCACAACCATCACTCAGCACCACAACCTAGTGCTCACAACATTCAGCATCACAACCTAGTGCTCACAACTAACACTCAGCATCACAACCTAGTGCTCACAACTAACACTCAGCATCACAACCTAGTGCTCACAACCATCATTCAGCACCACAACCTAGTGCTCACAATCATCACTCAGCACCACAACCTAGTGCTCACAACATTCAGCATCACAACCTAGTGCTCACAACTAACACTCAGCATCACAACCTAGTGCTCACAACCATCATCCAGCACCACAACCTAGTGCTCACAACCATCACTCAGCACCACAACCTAGTGCTCACAACATTCAGCATCACAACCTAGTGCTCACAACCATCATCCAGCACCACAACCTAGTGCTCACAACCATCACTCAGCACCACAACCTAGTGCTCACAACATTCAGCATCACAACCTAGTGCTCACAACCATCATTCAGCATCACAACCTAGTGCTCACAACCATCACTCAGCACCACAACCTAGTGCTAACAACATTCAGCATCACAACCTAGTGCTCACAACCATCACTCAGCACCACAACCTAGTGCTCACAACCTTTACAGCACACAGGATTTCGTATTACCGTCATGTCACTTGCTACATTTAAATTCTGAGTGTTCGTTCTCTAAAGCATTTTTATGTATTTATCGTTTTGGATCATTGCTTTTGTTCGAATCTTCAAAAAAAGTGGCTGCGAAGAACACTTTTTTTTTTTTTATGAGAGCCTGCGATAAAAATGGTCAGTAGGGAAAATTCAAAATGTTCATCCCCAATATATGATCTGAAATGAGATGAGAATCCATAACAACACTATTACACACCTACTGACAACGAAAGACCATGAATGCGCGTGACCCCTCACGCAGTCCCCCCACCCTCATCAGCACTCCCACATCCACTGCCAAACCACCCACCAACCCCGGCACTACATACCCTAATATTAATAGACAACTGGCAAAAATACAAGAGTAGACAATACAGACCATTGTATGGAAAGGAAAAGTAAGTACTGTGTCGTGCCCAACTACAGATGGATTTTCACATATGATTAATTGAAAGAGCTAGTGGATGAGGTAATCCCAGACATCGCAGCCATCACCAAGACACGGTTGAGAAAGATTATACTAGGCTCTATATTTCCCTCAGGATATCAAGTCATAGGGAAAGAGAGGGGAGGCAGAGGAGCGGCACTTCTAATCAGAAATCAGTGGCGCTTGGAATAGGTGAGAGGAATAGACAAGAAGCGAACATTATTATTATAATCAAGGGGGAAGCGCTAAACCCGGAGGATTATACAGCGCCTGGGGGGGGATGTGGAAGGCATTCAGGCTTAATTCGGGGAACTGGAGCACAGATCCAATTCCCTAAATCAAGAACCCCTCACCAACATCAAGGATCCTTCCTTGAGGGGAAGAAGCGAACAACTTCATAGTGGGAGCAGTTAAGACGGGGGGGGGGGACCAGAGTAGTAGTTGTAGTGATATACAGCCTACCACTTAACAAGAGACGAGGCAGGAGTATGTGGACAACAAAGTGATGGTTGACATCATAGCATAAGCAGTTAGGAGAGAACTTAGGGCTAAAGAAAAAATATTTATCGTGGGTGACATCAACCACAAAGAAATAGTGTGATAAGTGGAACCCACATGGGGACCAGAAACATGGAAGGTAAAATTGATGGAAGTGATTTGAGAAAACATTTCGAGTCAGCCTATTAAGAACTCGACAAGAGAGAAAAAAGGAGAGGATAATCCAACAAGACCAGACTTCGTATTTACCACAATATCTAACGATATCTAAGGATGCATAGGAGCATGGAAAAATTACAGAAAGCAAAGGACATAACAGAGAGGTGAGCAGATTATCCAGAAACGAATATGGTAGAAATGAGGAGAGACTGAGCGACAGTTTGAGAATGACAGCAGAAAAGACCACGTCTGAACCAAAATTGCTTCGCAGTCACATTAAAATAATGACGACAGTAAAAGACTAAGAAAACTCGATTGAAGAAAGAAGGGGGAGAACTCACGAAGAATGACAAGGAAGTCTGCGAAGCGTTGATCAAACGATTTGAAGATGTCTTCTCGGTGGAAACAGGGGCAGTACTAGAAAGCCTACGGGATTGGGTACACCAATATGTAATGAATAATATATACACAGTGAAAAAAATAAAGAAACCTCTGGTGAAGCTGAATACACCACAGGCAATGGGACGTAACAAGGAGTCACAACATATTCTGCTAGAGGAAGTATAAGCACTGAACTATTAGTTAATTTCTGCATCAAGTCATTGGATATAGGACAGTTGCTAGAGAACTGGAAGACAGCGAATGTAGTCCCTATATTTTAGAAAAGAGACAACCAGTAGTTGAACTAAAGACCAGTTTATCAGACATGTTTACCATGGAAGGTAATGAAGATTATCAGAAGAGTGGTATAATATTTGGTAAGTGTTTTCATAAGCAACAAACAGCATGGGCTCAGAGATGGCAGATGTTATCAAATCACAGAACGGGTGGGGCTGGAACCTATGGCAAGCGAGTCGTAAAACTCACAGGCCAGTACGTTAGTGCGCGGCCTCTGAGTTCATTCTCCACCCGTTCCGTGATTTGTTTGCAACCGTGTTATTACGATTTCGTGAGTCACGGCAGATGTCTTAGCGACCTGTAGGAGCTAAGACAAAGATGTGAGACAGGAGAGAAAGGTATGGGTGGATTGCATTTTCTTAGGTTATAAGCAGGCAAGAGACTAGTACAAAAACTGGAGGTGTAGGTAAGAATAACAGGGAGCATACTCCGGTGGACCAAGGAGCACCTTAGGGAAAAGAAACAGTGTCAGGGGTTCCACAAAGACCAATATTCACAACCTGGATTATGTGAATGACATTCCAGATGGGATTGAATCAGATTTATCCCCATATGCTGATGTAAAACTAATGCGGAGAATAGTCAGATAAAAGGGATTCAACCCCTTGTAATGAAAGGTTATGAAGACTGGGGAAGAGTTACCTGCAAGTTACTTAGTCTTTTTCTGGGGGTCACCGCCTCCACGCTCCGTCCCAGATTAGGCCTGGTTGCTTGGCCTGGTCGATCCGGACACAGAGGCTGCAGACTTCACTCAGAGAAAGACCTAGGGGTAAGCATAGTCGCCCGTATATTACCAGTGGCTCACATCCGCCGAATAGCCTCTTTAGCCAATGCTTGCTTAACAAAACTTGGAGTAGCCTTCAGGAATCTCAGTCGAGTCATTCTGGGCCCTTAATACAACATATCAGGCCTATCTTGGAGTATGCGGCACCGGCGTGGAATCCACACCTGAGAAAGTATGTTAATAAACTTGAGAAAGTGAGGAGGTATGCAACGGGGCTTGTTCCAGAGCTAAGGGATATGAGTTACAAGGAAAGGCTAACGGAATTTAATCTAACAAGATTGGAAGACAAAAGAATCAAGGGAGACATAATAACACCATATAAAAATACTGATTGGATAGATATGCATAGGCTGTTAGAGAGGCAAGAATAATGACAGAACCCACTAGGTTCATGGATGCATCATATCACACACATTTAGTAGTTAAGAGATAGGGTCCAGGAGCATCTCTCCCCTGCGACTTCACTAAATTAGATATTTATTTGGTAGATCGAAGAGCTTTTAGTTTCTTACTCCAGCCCTTTTTTTTCACAAGCTATATTGACTTCCCTTCCAAATTGACCTTTAAAGCATTGTTTCTGGTCGGGTATATAGACCAAGAATTATTCACAAGGTGTTGGTGACTAAGCTCCATTATGTTTCTCGAACCCACCTACAACGTGGTAACATTTAATGTTTTGGTTTTCATTTCAGTCAACCTCACGGGAAGGGGCGCGTGGACATGGCGCATTTTGAGTTACTCAAAGTGCTAGGCACGGGAGGTGAGTACTGCCTGATGGCCATCTTTCTTAACATAGCCTACATCTTACCCACAACGTATATACCCCGAGCAGTGTATATAACGTGAGTATATACACAGTGTGTTTTAATCCCTGAAACATTAGTGTTTAGGTGTACTGCATTCTTAATGACCTACGAGCAGTGATAGGTCACCTGCAGACTTTCTCTTACTCTCTTATTTTTCTGTTTTTGATGTTGTCGCCTCGACAGTCTACTTTTATCATTAATTGGGTATCCCTCATTTTATTCTGCCCACTTTTCATTTTATTTTTCTGTGCCCGAATTTCTTAAGTCGTCGTATTTCAGAGAGAGAGAGAGAGAGAGAGAGAGAGAGAGAGAGAGAGAGAGAGAGAGAGAGAGAGAGAGAGAGAGAGAGAGAGAGAGAGAGAGAGAGAGAGAGAGAGTGAGAGAGAGAGTGAGAGAGTTAACTGCTGAATGAACTACGCGGGTTAGGGTTTTATGATGAAGATAAGAATATTAACATTATTAAAATTATAAAATATGCATTTATTAACGCCTCTTGTTATTATTCTAGTTTTCATTACTTTCATGTTATGTTGATAATAGTCATAGTTCTTGCGATACCTTGTGGTCAAGTAACATAGTACCATGAGAATACCTGTGCTGGAGTATCAAGTGGTACCATGAGAATACTTGTGTTGGAGTATCAAGTGGTACCATGAGGACACCTGTGCTGCAGTATCAAGTGGTACCATGAAGATACCTGTGCTGGAGTATCAAGGGGTACCATGAGCATACCTGTGCTGGAGTATCAAGTGGTACCATGAGAATACCTGTGCTGGAGTATCAAGTGGTACCATGAGAATACCTGTGCTGGAGTATCAAGTGGTACCATGAGAACACTTGTGTTGGAGTATTAAGTGGTACCATGAGAATACTTGTGTTGGAGTATTAAGTGGTACCATGAGAATACCTGTGTTGGAGTATCAAGTGGTACCATGAGAACACTTGTGTTGGAGTATCAAGTGGTACCATGAGAATACTTGTGTTGGAGTATTAAGTGGTACCATGAGAATACCTGTGCTGGAGTATCAAGTGGTACCATGAGAACACTTGTGTTGGAGTATTAAGTGGTACCATGAGAATACCTGTGCTGGAGTATCAAGTGGTACCATGAGCATACCTGTGCTGGAGTATCAAGTGGTACCATGAGCATACCTGTGCTGGAGTATCAAGTGGTACCATGAGCATACCTGTGCTGGAGTATCAAGTGGTACCATGAGCATACCTGTGCTGGAGTATCAAGTGGTACCATGAGCATACCTGTGCTGGAGTATCAAGTGGTACCATGAGCATACCTGTGCTGGAGTATCAAGTGGTACCATGAGCATACCTGTGCTGGAGTATCAAGTGGTACCATGAGCATACCTGTGCTGGAGTATCAAGTGGTACCATGATAATACCTGTGCTGGAGTATCAAGTGGTACCATGATAATACCTGTGCTGGAGTATCAAGTGGTACCATGATAATACCTGTGCTGGTGTGGCGTGGTATGGTGAGAGAGAGAGCGTGAAAAATGTAAACCTTACTCAATGTAAATATAAAAATGTTTTTACAGATAGTTGTTTTGAATTTCAACACTGAAAAATTAGGATTTAGCCTAGGATATATATATATATATATATATATATATTATATATATATATATATATATATATATATATATATATATATATATATATATATATATTTACATATTTACTTAGGTCACACTACACAGGCATGCACATGCATATATATACATACACATATCTAGGCTTTTCTTTTTTTTTCTTAATGGTTCTTGTTCTTCTTTATTTCCTCTATTCTCTCTGGAGAAATGAAAAAGAATCTTTCCTCTGTAAGCCATGCGTGTCGTATGAGACGACTAAAATGCCGGGAGCAATGGGCTAGTAACCCCTGTAGAAAATACTAAAGAAGAGAAGAAGAAAAACTTATATAACTGGGATACTTGAATGTTCGTGGATGTAGTGCGGATGACAAAGAGATGATTGCTAATGTTATGAATGAAAAGAAGTTGGATGTCCTAGCTCTAAGCAAAACAAAGCTAAAGGGGTAGGTGAGTTTCAGTGGGGAGATATAAATGGGATTGTCAGGAGTATGAGAGAGTTAGAGCTAAGGAAGGGGTGGCAATAATGTTGAAGGATCAGGTATGGAAGAAGAGGGAATATAAATGTATAAATTCAAGGATTATGTGGAATAAAATAAGGGTCATATGCAAAAAGTGGGTCATAATAAGCGTGTATGCACCTGGAGAAGACAGGAGTGTAGAGGAGAGAGAGAGAGAGAGAGAGAGAGAGAGAGAGATTTTGGGAGATAAACGAGTGTGTAGGAACCTTTGAACAAAGTGAGAGAGTAATTGTGTTAGGGGACCTATATGCTTAAGTAGGAGAAACATTTAGAGAGGGTGTGGTAGGTAAGTTTGGGGTGCCAGGTGTAAATGATAATTGGGGCCATTTTATTGAACTTTGTATAGAAGGGGGGTTTGGTTATAGGTAATACATATTTTAAGAAAAGTGGATAAATAAGTATAAAAGATATGATGTAGGGCGTAATGACAGTGTTTTGTTAGACTACGTATTGGTAGATAAAAGACTGTTGAGTAGACTTCAGGATGTACATGTTTATAGGGGAACCCACAGATATATCAGATAACGTTTTAGTTGTAGCTACAGTGAGAGTGAAAGGGAGATGGGATACAAGGAAAATAGAAGCAGCAAGTAAGAGAGATGTGAAGGTTTGTAAACTAGAGGAGGCAGTTAGGGTAAGATATAAACAACTATTGGAGGATAGATGGGCTAGTGAGAGTATAGGTAATGGGTTAAAGATGCATGGGGTAGGTTTAAGAATGTAGTGTTTAGCAGAAGTTTGTGGTTACAGGAAAGTGGATGTGGGAGGGAAGAAGAGCGATTGGTGAATGATGTTAAGAGAGTAGTAAGGGAGAAAAAGTTAGTGTATGAGAGGTTTCTACAAAGTAGAAGTGATGCAAGGAGGGAAGAGTATATGGAGAGAAAAAGAGAGGCTAAGAGAATGGTGAAGCAATGTAAAAAGAGAGCAAATGAGAGAGTGGGTGAGATGTTATCAACAAATTTTGTTGAAAATAAGAAAAAGTTTTGTAGTGAGATTAATAAGTTGAGGGAGCCTAGAGAACAAATGGATTTGACAGTTAAAAATAGGAGAGGAGAGTTATTAAATGAAGAGTTAGAGGTATCGGGAAGATGGAGGGAATATTTTGAGGAATTGTTAAATGTTGATAAAGATAAGGAAGCTGTGATTTCGTGTATAGGGCAAGGAGGAATAACAGCTTGTAGGAGTGAGGAAGAGCCAGTTGTGAGTGTAGGGGAAGTTCGTGAGGCAGTGGGTAGAATGAAAGGGGGTAAGGCAGCTGGGATTAATGGGATAAAGATATAAATGTTAAAAGCAGGTGGGGATATAGTTTTGGAGTGGTTAGTGCTTTTATTTAATAAATGTATGAAAGAGGGTAAGGTACCTGGGGATTGGCGTGCATAGTTTCATTGTATAAAGGCAAAGGGGACAAAAGAGTGCAAAAATTATAGGGGAATAAGCCTGTTGAGTATACCTGGTAAAGTGTATGGTAGTTGTTATTGAAAGAATTAAGAGTAAGATGGAGAGTATGACAGCAGATGAACAAGGAGGCTTTAGGACAAGTAGGGGAGGTGTAGACCAAGTGTTTACGGTGAAACATATAGGTGAACAGTATTTAGATAAGGGTAGAGACGTTTTAGTGGCATTTATGGATTTGGAAAAGGCATATGACTGGGTAGATAGGGGGTAATGTGGCAGATGCTGCAGATGTATGGAATAGGGAGGTAGGTTACTGAAAGAACTGAGGAGTTTTTACTAGGATATTGAGGCTCAGGTTAGAGTATAGAGGAAGATTATTTCTCAGTAAAAGTAGGCCTTGGACAAAGGCGTGTGATGTTACCATGGTTGTTCAATATGTTTATAGATGGAGGTGTAAGAGACGTGAATGCGTAGGTGTTGGCAAGAGGTGTGGAATTAAAATATAAAGAATCTAACACAAACTAGGAGTTGTCAGAGTTGCTCTTTGCTGATGACACTGCTTTTTGGAGCTTTTGAAGAGAAGTTACAGAGGTTGGTGGATGAGTTTGGTAGGGTATGTAAAAGAAGAAAATTAAAAGTGAATATAGGAAAGAGTAAGGTGATGAAGTTAACAAAAAGATTAGGTGATGAAAGATTGGATATCAGATTGGAGGAAGAGAGTATGAAGGAGGTGAATGTACTCAGATATTTAGGAGTAGACATGTCAGCAGATGGGGCTGTGACGGATGAGGTGAATCACAGAATTGATGAGGGGAAAAAGGTGAGTGGTGCACTTTGGAGTCTGTGGAGACAAAGAACTTTGTCCTTGGAGGCAAAGAGGGGAATGTATGAGAGTATAGTTATAACAATGCTCTTATATGGGTGTGAAGCATGGGTGGTGAATGTTGAAACCAGGAGAAGGCTGGAGGCAGTGGAGATGTCATGTCTGAGGGGCAATGTGTGAATATAATGTAGAGAATTCGTAGTTTGGAAATTAGGAGGTGTGGGATTGCCAAAGATATTATCGAGAGGGCTGAGGAGGGGTTGTGGAGGTGGTTTGGATGTGTAAAGAGGATGGAACGAAATAGAATGACTTCGAGAGTGCATAAATCTGTAGTGGAGGGAAGGCAGGGTAGGGATCAGCCTAGGAAAGGTTGGAGGGAGGGGGTAAAGGAGGGTTTGTGTGCGAGGGGCTTGGACTTCCAGCAGGCATGTGTGAGCGTGTTTGATAGGAGTGAATGGAGACAAACGGGCTTAAGGAATTCACATGCTGTTGGAGTGTGAGCAAGGTAACGAAGGGATTCAGAGAAACTGGCAGGCTGGATTTGAGTTCTGGAGATGGGAAGTACAATGTCTGTACTCTGGAGGAGGAGTGTCAGTGTTGCAGTTTTATAA